TACAAAAAACTTCCTCACCTCCCTTGTAATATCAATGCCATGGGAAGGTCCTGAAGTCAAAGATTCACATATCTGATCACAAAAAAAAAGGTCACTAATTAAGATATATGTGTACATGTATATAAATATTCGTCCATAGGAAAAGGTGAGAATAGCTCATCTACTATAGTGAATAAAAGCAATCTTTTCAAAATTACAAAATAGAGGCAAATAACTAAGTAGATTCCTAGGGACTACTTAACAATTAACATGAGTTAATATAACTAGGTACCCTGCAGTACATAAGCCCTCACTGTTTTCTTCCCCTGATTATCGAAAACTTGAGAAGCAGGCAAAATAGTCTAGTTTTCAAAGACTTGTCAGTTGTCACGGCTACCGACTTAACATGGCTTAATATTCAAACTGCAATCGAAAAATGCACAGATTTACATGAAACATTCAAACAAAATAGGAACTCACATTATAATCAGAACCGAGACGTGACCTTAGAAAAGGCAGCAGCTTCTTCCACTCCTTACCCGTCCTCCCATTAGCCCCTGCACCAATTTCAACCATTTACCATCATGTAAATCTTCTAGAAACGAACTGCAATCACAATTTGATTCTCCTTTTTTTTCCTCAAAATCTCCTTGACTCTATAAACACAGAAAATGTAAATGGAATACGAGTGCAATTGAAAAAATTACAGCAACGGAAAATGAATTCGAGAGGAACCTCGGGGATTGACGACGAAGACGATGTCTCGGCGGCCAGAGGCGGCGGCCCATCCACCGAGGGCCGCACGGTCCATAGAGAGATCCGGAGGCAGCGGCTGCTCGGCTCGGATTAACGAGGGCTTGGCCATCGGCGCTGATCCCACGGCGAACGGAATCATGTCGGCCGAACTGTATATATATAACCGTATTCTCCGATTTGCAGCCAATATTAAACGAACTAACAAGTCATTAATTTAATCCTCTGTTAATGTGATTAATTAAGATAATGAAACGTTAAAGTTGTGGATTAATAGGATTTGAGAGCGGTGATCCAGTGCATCAGCGTAGCAGCAGATTGTGGACCGGTCGCCGGTCAGCCTTAAGAATCATCGTCGGGACTATAATTTTATGATGAAGTTTCATAAAATTATTTATGTTTCATTAATACATGTTATGTTATGTACAGCTTGCCGAGCCCAAATTATCCATTGTACTTTTATGTATGCATTTTTTTATTTTATTCTTTTTGTTTCATTTAAAAAATGCATAGTTATAAAATAAAATCCCATTGCAACCAATTATCTCAACTCTATAAGTGCGAAAATATTACACAATTTAAACGCAACGTACAACGACTTCAGAAGTTTATACCTTCGTGGATTTTTAAATCCTCCAACATCAACTATAACACATCCAAAATCAAGCCCAAAATGTATCACACATTAATTAAAATACTCAAGAAGACTGAAATACTTGACAAGTGGTTGGGTGGAAAATTAACACCATTACAGAGTCTCACCATTAGTTTCAACAAACTTCCAACTCCATACTAAACACAAAAAGGTACAACAATCAAAGAGAATCAACAACTCAGAACCTCGAAAATCCTCCCTTAGATAAGCCGATAAAGCCTATCTCTTCTTGCTGGTATTCTGCTTCGACTTGGATTTCGAAACAAAGTGATGTGACTTGAACTTCTTCTTCTTCACAACAGGTGTGGTCCCAGTAACACTGCCTTCTCTGAAAGGCATCCCCATGAGAGCCAGCAACTTATAAGCCTCTTTATCCGTATTAGCTGTGGTTGTTATACAAACGTCCATTCCCCTCGGTTTACCATACAAGTCGTAACCTAATTCCGGGAAAACACTCTGTTCACGAATGCCTATGCTATAATTACCGTTTCCATCAAAGCTGCTAGGGCTCACCCCTTGAAAGTCCCTTGTTCTGGGAAGCCCCAAGTTAATGAGCCGGTCGAGAAATGAGTACATCACCTGCGAAAAATGAGGTTCGAGGGGGAATGTATATGGTATGATCAATGCAAATCTTTGTATTCGATGAAGTTGGCCTTTTGAGCAGTCCCTTTGTATGATACAAAATTTTGATACCTCTTAAATATTTAAGCAATTGGATACAGATTATCTGGTCAAATATTT